TCATGTTAATTTTTGAGCCTATCTTGGTAAAAGTATAGGTATAGACATGGTGGATGGATTCGGGTGTGATCCTACCTGCTTCGTGTTTTTCAATAAACTTAATGTTTTTCGAATTAAAACGTGCTAGGGTTAGAGATGATTCATCTATGCTATGCATTTGGTATTGGGGAATGTTTTTCGAAAGAAACTTGAATGCTTGGTCAAGGATGGTATTATTGGACCACTAAAATTTTCAGATTATGATTAATGTGTTGACTATGTCGATGGGAAGATGTAGTAGAAACACAATTTTGAGGCTAATCGGTTATTTGGTCTTTTGGACTATATTTATACCAAAATTTATGGTCCATTTTCTATTGTAGCTCGAGTGCAGTAAAGGTATTGCATTGTCTTCATTGATGGGTTCTTAATGTATGATTGTGTACTTAATTCACCAGAAGTCCAAAGCACTTGATGTGTGTAAAATATACCAAATTAAAGTTGAAAGTTGTTGGGTATAGTGATTATGGTTTTAAGATCGGACTTAGGTGGTGAGTTTTATTGGGAGGATGGTAAGAAGGGTATAAATCGTAGTATTTTCAGTACATACTTAAAGAATAGGGCATTGTGTCACAGTAAACCATTCCTAGTTCTCTTGAAAAAATAAAATTGCAAAAAATATAAAGTGTAGGGTTGTCTTATGGAGACAGAGTTATATAATGCAGATATCAAGGAGCTTGATACTCAAACTATCAATGATTATTTTATTGGGCATCTTGAAAGATTAAAGGATTCGAGATTTTATTATCCTATAGACCTATGGAGATTATTGGAATATGTTATGCATATTTAATGATAGTGGTGAATTCGGTGGAAGTTTAAGATATTGTAGTTTCTTTTGCAGAAAAGTATTTTCAGCAACTATTCTATTTATTTCAGACTTCATTCTACTTTCTTTAGTAGTTTCAGTTAAAGCTCATACTCCCACTCTTTCAGTTATTCCCACTCAATTAGTTATTTATCCTTTGTAGGCTTTTCTTTTAGTTTCCAATCTAGTTCCTAAGTCTGTTTAGCTTAGGAGATTTTTTAGAGCTTGGAAGTGTATTGTAATTGGTGATTTTGAGGTGTATGATGTATATAAGACAAAATTGATGGCTAGGTTCTTAAACAAAAGTTAAGTGTTGATTTATTTGAGATTTTTTTCTCCAGTTTCATTAAAGGACTCTTTAAGAGTCATTCATTCATTATTGCTCATTTATGGCTTAAGCAAGTTTTATAGCAGTGGTATTTGAACTTTGATATAGTGATTGTTAATTGTAAATTCAAAGAGAATGTTATGGATAAATGCATATACCTCAAGTTCAGAGGGAGTCATTTTGTTTTTCTTGCTCTATATGTTGATAATATTTTGCTAGGTAGCAATAACATTCATGTGACACATGATATTGAGAATTCATGTAAAGTTTTTGACATGAAGGACATGGGGTAGGCAGAGTATGTCCTTGGCATTAAGGTCCATAGAGATCACACTACTAGCATACTTGGACTTTCTCTAAAGGTTTATATTAATGAGTATATGGAAAAATTTTAAGGGTGACCAAGCGTAGTAAGCTCATTGACCTAAAATATATTTTCAAGCTTGAGAAGGTTAAAGGTTTAAGTGCTATTAAGATTTCTCCATATGGTTATAGAAATATTGTTTCAGATCGTCTCATTAAAGGTCTTCAGCCGAAGATAATAAAGTATTTATAAAGCATGTGATTCGGATAGGTGTTCGAGAGTCATTATGTTATGAAGTCTGATCGGTTGATCAACTAACATCAACCTTCGCAATAGCACGAATCATTATAAAATAGGGCTATTGGTCGGGTAAGTCGAACCACTGGGACTGCGCTAGTCTAATACAACCTAAATGTCTAGAATCATTCTTAGAATGATGAAGGGTTTATAGAGGTTTTGTTGGATGTCACTTAAGCTAGGAAATTAAAAGTGCATAAAACAATAAATTGCAAGAATTCAAGGGAGTGAAGTACAAGTAAAAAAGGCTAGGGAAATGAATCCACCTCCATCCCTATACACATGCTAGGTTAAGATTAATTTAAGGGAAAAACAACATATATGATAGTCATGATACATAACAATACTAGGTTGCTATAATATCCTCAAGAAGTTCATTCAAATAGAAAGGCAAGAATAAACCATCAAAGGTTCACATGATCAACTACCTAAACTAAAATGTAGCTTAGAACATGCTTACTAAGTCAAGGATTATCAAGCCCTAATTTAAATGGTGAATGCACATAAAGCTAAGAATCAAGTATAGACCATCAAAGGGAAACCCTACGCCATGAACTATCTAGGTTCTCCAACTCCATGCCATTAAAACCATTCCATGATCTAACTTCCATTGTCACCATGGAAGTGCAAGCAATATGATTAAGAAAAGTAACCATCCAAAACAAGATGAATAACTCACAATAATCATTTATAAACATTCAACATTCATTACAACAAAAATGAGGCTCTTGATCATGGAGAGACTATCAAAAATACATTGTAATCCCCAAAAATAAACTATACTAACACATGCTTACAAGGGAGGGGTTTCATCACCTCCCTAGATGAGGTTTAGTTGCCCATTGGTGAGCTAGAAGAAGGAAGAAGCATCATCCTCATCTCCATTTTCGTGCACCTCTTTGGAGCTTGAAGAACACCTCTTTCTTGCTCCCCCCTCTCTCCTTTATCTTGCTAGAATATATGATAATGTAAAGTGTGTGGCCTCCCTCTCTCTTATCAAGCTCAAGTCAAGGCTCTCTCTCCTCCAAGGAACACCTCCAACCATTTCATAAAGAAGGAAGATGGCATTGAGGAAACCAATGTGCAAGTGGCTGAAATTAAGCCATTTCCGAGTGCAATCTGCCAGAATTTCGAGCACTCGAAGGGTGGTCTCGAGCACTCTAAATTAGTGTAATGTGCAACATGCTCTTCTTGCTTAGCACTGACCTACTTTGGTAAAACGGCTATAACTTTGTGCCCCAAACTCTGAATGATGATCTGTTTGAAGATTTGGAGAGCTGATTCAGTGCTTTAAAAACTTCATGTTTTGATGAAGACCCAATTCTCAAGTCTGGTTGGTCGAAAATGGGGAGAAAGGCAGTACTTCAGTGCTGCCAGGCAGTTCTGCACACCTCTGTTAAGAAGATCATAACTCTCTGCTCCGAACTCCGAATGATGAACCGCTTGAAGATTTGGAAAGCTGATTCAGAGTTCTAAATCTTTTATGTTATGATGGAAGTCCAGTTCTTGGGTTTGAAAGGTCAAAAATGGCGACAAAAGTTAGGTTCTACTGCTGCCAGAATTTCAGAATTGGCACCATTTTTGTTCAAAATTCCACAAGGCATCATTTTTGCTTCCTTTTTGCACTTTAACCTGAAAATGTACAAAAACATGCAAATGGAGTTAATCAACATAAAATAATCAATTAATGGACTTTGTTAATGTAATTTAGGGCGCTTGAATATACAGTATTCAGCGCTTATCAATGTTCGATATTTCTTTTATATTATTACATTGCAGTTAGTTTCTTTATGCCTTGTGGTGACAATTATTTTTTCTCCAGTTTACACCTTATGGTGATAGTTATTTACATCCAAAATAAAGTTATGATACGTCATTATTATTATCTTAATATATATGGTTTATGCACGTGCTATTATGTTTGTCTGAGAGTGGTATTTCACTCATGAGATTGTTTGGGCTAGATGTGAGATTGACATCACATCGGTAAATCCAAAATAATTATTAAAGGTTGTTTGGAAGTGATATTTCACTCATGCGGTTGTTTGGGCTAGATATGAGATTGATACCATATCGGTAAATCCAAACATAAGATTTGTCTGGGAGTGGTATTTCACTCATGAGGTTGTTTGGACTAAATGTGAGATTGACACCACATTGGTAAATCCAAACATAAATATTAAAGTTTGCCTATGGGAGTGTGAAACACTCCATGAGGATAGCTTGAGTTAGACATGGGATTGGCTCCATATTGCTAAACCCTTACACTGAACTGAAGTTTGGCAGTTTGCTGTAATATGTTCAGGTGACATACCGCAATAGTATGAAGCAGGACGGATAATGAGGTGTGCATTTAGACCACAAGCAGTTTGCACATCTCATGAAATACGGTAAAAACCACTATATTTGCTTGAATCCGAGATGGAATCGGTTTTGAGATCATGGAACTGTTTAGACTAATATATTACTTGTCTACGCATTCATGATCCACTATTGAGGAAGTCTATAGAGCAGAGTGTTCTAAAGTATCAATCCATATATTTCGATAATTGTATTTTTATAAAACAAATTACGTGACCACTCGACTTTTCTAAAATGTGTTGTAATCCATAGTGCCATTTATATATATATATATATATATATATATATATATATATTTTTTTTTTTATATAAAACTCGGAGTGCATGGACCAAGTGGGAGATTGTTGGAAATTTTTATCTATACATAATAAAAATTATTTTATGGTTTAATACACTGCGTTTTCTAAAATAGGATTGCAATGTGATTATTGATAATTGATAGATCAGGTTGTACTTTCTAATTTGATGGTTTAATTGGGAATAGAGTTTTATACAGTTGGATTGTGATTTTCCAACTATTTGGTATGATTTAATTCTAACCATTTATATCTAAGTTTCCATGATAGGAAGGGATGCTTAGGTATGTTTATTTGTGGAGAAGCTGTCCCCCCTGTTGTTGTTATATATAAGAGTTTAAACCCTTATTAAGCCCTATCGAAAGACAATTCTTAGAAGGGGGTAAATCACTCTAATGTTTTGCAGGATCACAAAGAACTCTAAAGCTATTCTCCAAAATTTAAAGGTATATGTACGTTAATTATCAATTAGGTATGAGATTAAATTACTCTTTAATTAATTGTAATATTCTTGATTTCTTCGTATAAATTATTTGATTAAAAACCAACATTATATTCTCCTGCATATGAAGGCTTACTTTCTCACTTTATTTAGAAATTCTATTACAAATCTTCTGCATTGATACAAACACAAACGTTACCACGAAAGATAGCAAACTATAAAGAATTACTCATTGACATTGCATTCATTAGCTATGCTTGATCAGAGCAGCATAAGATGGTGATGGAGCAATCGGAGGCGTTCGTGGATGATCAGACGTTACCTGCGCCGTAGAATTATCAACACGACAAGGTATGTAGCGGTTTTTCTGTTCTGGTGGGCATGGTTGTTGCTTTGTGAAGAAGGAATCACACTCTTCTTTACTTCTCTGTGATGGAAGATCTAAAATGCAATTCATATTTACATCAAGCACATTTCTCATAATCAACTTTCTGCATTCCGGTCCAACCTGCGTAAAGTAGTTGTTGTTCAAGGTAAGCTTGTACAAGTTCTTGAGCCTGCACACTATCTCCGGTACCTCCCCGTATAACCGGTTAAAAGACAAGTTCAGCAGCTCCATCTTTTCCAGGCAACCGAAAGAAAATGGTATCCCACCTGTCAACTGGTTGAGGCTGGCGTCGAAAATGGTCACTTTCTTCAACAACCCAATCTCGTGCGGAAGGCAGCCAGACAACCGGTTGTTCAGAAACAGCACCTCAATCAACGTGTTCGAAGCTAGGCCGATGCTTTTCGGGATTGGACCGGTAAATTGGTTGTTTGCTAAGGTGAGATAAAGCACCGGAGTGCTGCCTAGGCTGTCCGGTAGGTATCCACAGAAATAGTTGTTGTTGAGGAAGAGAACGTCGAGGTCGAGTTTGAATACCTGTGGTGGTAATGTACCGGTAAGTTGGTTGAACCTAAGGTCCAAGAAGGTCAAGTTGGTGGCGCCGAGGATCTCGTTTGGAAATGATCCAGTGAGCATGTTGTTGCTCAAGTCAAGCTCGAAGAAATATGGGAGTGTGGCAACTTTGGCGGGAATGGGACCGGTGAAGGTGTTGGAGTTGGCGTGGAAGAAGACTAGGTCTTCGAGGGCTTCAATGAAGTCATTGACATTGAGTAGATTGCCGTCGAAGTAGAAGCCGTTGAACTTGACACCAGCAACTCGGAACCTGTCGGTTGAATTGATTTTGCCGCAGATGAAGCCTTTGTATTTAGAGCTGTCTGTGCAGATACCTCTGCCTTGCCAAGTCTTTGTAATGCCTAGTGGGTCCCGAGTTATTCTGTTCTTGAATTTTTGGATACTGCGGATGTCCCTTAAGAGTTCAGGTGCAACGCAGGGCGGCGGCGGTGGAGGGGGAGGGAGTGAGCATTCTGGTTTTGGAGGGTGAGGAGTGTAATATCTTTCTAGGGGTTTTCTAATGTTTTGGGTAGCTGAACTAGTAGTATAACGATCTGCTAGTTGGAAGACTAAAAAGTTGAGAAGTAGAAAAGCAGCTGAAAAATAGAGGTTCCCCATCTCTCTCTCTCTCTCCTCTTTCTCTCTCTCTATATCTCTTCCAACTGCAAGTGATGGCAATTCCAGGAAGAAAAAAAAAAAAAAAAAAAGAGGTAGTAATATAGGGGAACACAAATGAAGTCACTGCTCACTAAAAAGTGAAAAAAACAGACAAGAAAAATGTGATGATACAGATGGTATTAGACTACCTTCCTCGATACGATGATGGCCTCATGTGGACGAAAAAGCTTTTCCCTTCAATTTTCTTTCTTTTCCACCCATCTATTCGCACGGGTCCTACTGGTAAAGCAGTGGAAATTGATGATGAAGATGATGATACAAGAAGTTTTACATGTGTTTTCTCACTTAAAAAGTCCAATTGCTATCATTCTACACCTAGAATTTTCTCCACAACCAATCAATACATTGACTTGACAATAGTTGAACTACAATTCACGTACATGATTTTATCCCTATAAACCAACATTGATGACATTCGTACCACACAACATTACATTGCGTAAAACAAAAGTCACTAGTTCCCAAGCTTTGTTATATGTTCCTTTCTTGTTTGCTCAACGCCCTGTGACCCAAGTCATAATTTTTTTCAATGGGTGTCGCTCTCATATTCTGTACACGTTTTCACTCTCCCTCTTACTATGTGTGATTTAGATTTTTCAACTTTCATACTCCCTCTCCCGTCTTACGACTAGGGCTGATCACGGATCGGATCAAATTGGTTCAGTTTTAGATAAAATTTAAACTAATGGTCCTCACAGATTGGCTAAATCTAAAACTGAACCGATCCGTGGGACTCTCAATCTAAACCAAATCGATCCGTAAAACAACGGATTTGTTCGATTCGGTTCCCACGAATTGAGCTTGACAGAACAGAACTAAAAAAACTGAAATTAAAGGCAAAATACTATTTTCGTCTGAGTCATGCAAGAATTTAAAGGGAAAAAGAGAATCTGTTATTGTTAACTCTGTTTCAAAATACTGATTTTTGTCTAAGTCATGCATAAATTTGTATAGACTATACATATTAATAAATGGGCTATGAAAATGACAAGGTAGAACTAAAACTAAGTGATTAAAGAAAACAAAAACATCAATAATGTATTCTGAATATACTTTATACTATGTATGTTATATAATATATGTATATTAGTTCTACGGATTGGCCACGGATCGATTCGATTTTTTCAACACTCAAATTGATTCGGTCATTACGGATTATTAATTTTTCAATCCATCACCGAATAACGACACTAAAAAATCAAATCGAACCGTCCGGATCGAATCAAAACGATTCAATCTAACATATTGACGAATTATTTAAACACCCCTGCCTACTGACAACTTTTTAAATATTTTGTCTCCCGTGTATGTTTTTACGGTCATGAACTCCTCTATTTAAGATGAGGTGACAGTCTCACAAGGGAGTAAGGGACTCATCATGGTTTAGATCATAGTTGAAAAGGTCAAATAGAACAGGTCCTTTTCAGTGGTCCATTAAATGAGTTGGACGAGGTAGCTTGCATACCTGACGAAGGGATTAACTGCAGCAATGAAGGTGCCTTGCCCTTTTCAGAAAAAACTATTTGAAGCTGGAAAAAGCACACGGAGGTAAGCTCGCTTCAATGCATGTCTATGGCTATTTGCCTATCTTATTGTTTTTTGAACTTTCTTTGCTAACTACAGTGTCAAGCTAGATACTTCACTTGAGGTGCGGTCGTCATGGCTACTATTCGAACTATTCTGAAATTTAAATATATAATTTTTTTGATTAGACACTGAGACACGAACACTTTCAGGCGAATTGGTTTTGTAATTATTGTTTTAAAATAATATATATTTGAAAAAAATATATATTTAAATATAATAAAAATATATATTATGGATTAATTATAAACATAATATAAAATTTAGAAAAAAAAAATAACGAACATCTAGCTCTAAGTTTTAAATTATCTTATTATTGTTTCAACTTTCTTTGACAACTGCAGTGTCAAGCTAAATACTTCAATAGGGGTGCCGTTGTCATGGTATCGAATACTTTTATGATATTGTTAGATACTACTCGAAATATTCTGAAATTTAAATATATTATTATTTGGTTAGACACGTCTGAGACACGACATGAAAACGGTAATGATACATTTTAAACACTTTCAGGCGAATTGATTTTGTAATTATTCTTTTAAAATAATATATATTTGAAAAAAAAATGTTTAAATATAATAAAAATATATATATATTATGGGTTAATTATAAACATAATATAAAATTTAGGAAAAAAAAATAACGAACATCTAGCCCTAAGTTCTAAATTATCTTATTGTTTTTTGAACTTTCTTTGATAATTGCAGTGTCAAGTCAGATACTTCACTAGAGGTGTCATCGTGGTATCGAATACTTTTCGGATATTGTTAGATACGACTCAAAGTATTCTGAAATTTAAATATATTAGTTTTTGGTTAGACGCATCTGAGACAAGACATAAGAACGACAATGAATACATTTTAAACACTTTCAGGCGGATTGGTTTTGTAATTATTCTTTTAAAATAATATATATTTGAAAAAAAAATGTTTAAATGTAATAAAAAATATGTATTATGACTAATAGGCTTGCAGCCTAGTGGTACAAGGCTCCTACTTCGCAAAGGGAGGTCAAGAGTTCAAACCTCAGTGGAGGCAGTGTGTGTGAGTCCTAACTAGGAAAATATATATAGGTAAGGTTCAATAAGTTTTTTCAACCGTAGCATGTCTTCGACATCGTCAGCTCCTCTTGGAGGAAGAGTGATAGTTAACCAAGAGGAACAGCATATTGATAGTGGTCAGAATGACCAATGGGATACTTGGAATATACCTAAGGTTCCCATTAGGGATATTTACAAATTTTCGACTTTCAACCTCAAAATAGGATACTCCATCAAAACTGTTGAACAAACTATTTCTCTCAAAAACCCTTTTGAAGTCATCCAACTTTTGCAAAAAAGAGCCATAGTAGAACACAAAAAGAAGTACAAACTACATATAGGGCCTGTCCAAATTGCAGTTAAACCTCTTACCTCAAGGGGACTTAACACTGCTATCATGCTTACTCTTAGAGATTGTAGGCATATTGATTTTGAAACTTCTTTGTTAGGAGTTTGCCAAACTAGTCTTTCTGATGGCCCACAATACTTCAATTGTTTTCCAAATTATTCAGTAGCTCTTGATGATCCAACAATCCTCTATACTTTAATCCTCAATGTATCAAGTAGTGGTTATAAAATGATGGATGGAGCTTTACCCTTCAATGTTGTCTATAGAATCCACTACAAAGTCTATACAACCCAAGTCAGCCCTCATGCTTTTCGTGAGTCTCCCAAAGGAGAAACCCTTCTTCTTCATGCTAGTGACGAAAATTCACAAACCAATGTTCCAAAAACCATCACTTGGAATGAAGTCACTTTTCTAGAAGAATGGACTCTGGAGCATGCAGCTCCTCCTTCAAAGATCAAGAATAAAAGGTTAGAACAAATATCTCAATTTTCTGATGGCACGGTAAATGTTAGATTTAATTCTAACAGGCCCAATAGACTTTCTATCTAAGAAATAGAAAGACCTAGACTTTCTATCTAAGAAATAGAAAGAACTAGATCCTCTTTTTCTCATGCTTCTCACACAAACTATTCAAAAGCCCTTTCCCGAAAATCATTTTCAGGAACACCTACAAGGTATCCAAACCTCGTCGGTGTCAAAAACAAAGAAGTTGCTAACCCAGTTTACCAAGACAATGTTAGCATACAAATTGAAGAAGAAGACATCCATCCTCTTCGCAGCACTCCTTTACCTACCCAAACTAGTTCTCAAAACAAAGGTCTGCAAAACCCTCCTCTAAACGAAGATCATCATGATTCTCCTCCATCCCCAAATGATTCTCAGTTTGAAGATCCCGATCATCAAATTCATCAGCTCTACATGATAGAAAAGGTTTATGAGATCGATAAAGACTTCTTACGCAAAGATTTCTACTCTGCGATCAATGATTCCAAAAGACAATGGTATTTCCAAACCTTTTCTGCTTAAAAAACCATCCTTATTAGAGAAGAGTGGTATGCTTTCTGTATACACCACAAGTTCTCATCCCCTTTTTTCACATGGTTTGAAAAATATTGTCTCGACAACAATATTGATTTTCCTTTCTCCACAATCAAATCCTTAAATGTCACAACCAAATCCACCACTACCTGGCCAACATCCCGTGGTGAGGCCATTAAAGCCATCCATCCCCCAGCTGAGGTAATCAAATTCAAGACAAAGGCATCAGGAACGGTCACACTTACTGCTTCTCCTTTCAAGACAAAGGCAGGAGCCAATGATAATACCCCATCTACGACTCGTGATGTCCGAAGCATCATGGAACAAAATAACTACACAAACCAACACCTTCAGACACTTGGTGATCAGCTTTCTCGTGTGGAAACCTTGCTTCAAAAATAACAAATAATCCCCATTCAATCTGATAATGCTCCCCCTTTCATACCCCATGAAACCCCCTTACACTTGTCTAAACAACTACCAAAGCGTAGTGCCATTGAAGAAGCACAGGAGAGGATTAAGCGTAGCGAATCCCTTATGACCTCCATGACTACGATTCCTGATACGCCTGAAAGACCTCTTAGAGCCATCAATACTTTTGACCAGGAAATTGGTACTGATACTGAAATTGATGAAATTACTGAAATCTTCTAGAACCAACAAGTCAATACCTTAGAACCAACTTCTTCTCGAAACTACTATCCCAGGCCAACTTTCCCTGACCTCCAAATCGAAGAACGAGGCCAGTTTTCCCAAGCTGCTTATCATGGTGGTACCATTTATGAATGGAACATAGATAGCAAAACTGAGTATCACATTCTCAATACACTTCAAGAAATGACAATGATCAGCACTGCTTACAAAACCAAGAATGGCTCTTCTGATCATGCTATAGCACAACTCCTAGTAAAAGGATTCACAGGCCAACTCAAAGGATGGTGGGACAACATCCTCACTCCAGATAAATGACATGCCATTCTTAACTCTGTCAAAACAACTCCTGAAGGAACAGTTATCAAAACAGAAGAAAGTGCAGATATAGAAGATGCGGTTGCTACTCTCATTTTCTCTATCGCCAAACAATTCCTCGGTGACCTCTTAATTATTAGAGACAAGACCTCAGAAATCCTAGCCAAC